AGTTTATTGTTTTACTTTATTTAATATAATCAATTTTAATAAATCCGTTAAGTATCCAGAATTTTTTGCAATAAACTTACGTATTTCATTTAAACTAATTTTAATGATATTTTAATTCTAAACTAATTACGTTTTTCAAGGAATTATCCTGATTTTCTTGCTACATTTGTCATTTAATTATTTTTTACTTTTATTATTTATTTCTTACTTTTATTATTTTATTATTTCAATTTTCATTTATTAATAAAAGGAAGGTTGTTCTGGTGAAACCCTAGGGTTTTTTTTCCCGCTCATTTTATGGCTACATTTGTCATTTAATTATTTTTTACTTTTATTATTTATTATTTCAATTTTCATTTAAACTAATTATTCTTTTATACCATTTATTTATTTTATTATTTTTTTATTTCAATTTACTATAAATGAATTTTTTTCCGCTCATTGGATAGTTACAAATTATAATTGTCATTTATTTAATTAATTAGTTTATTGTTTTACTTTATTTAATATAATCAATTTTAATAAATCCGTTAAGTATCCAGAATTTTTTGCAATAAACTTACGTATTTCATTTAAACTAATTTTAATGATATTTTAATTCTAAACTAATTATGTTTTTCAAGGAATTATCCTGATTTTCTTGCTACATTTGTCATTTAATTATTTTTTACTTTTATTATTTATTTCTTACTTTTATTATTTTATTATTTCAATTTTCATTTAAACTAATTACGTATCTTTTAATGATATATTATTGTGTGATGAATTCTTTTATACCATTTATTTATTTTATTATTTTTTTATTTCAATTTACTATAAATGAATTTTTTTCCGCTCATTGGATAGTTACAAATTATAATTGTCATTTATTTAATTAATTAGTTTATTGTTTTACTTTATTTAATATAATCAATTTTAATAAATCCGTTAAGTATCCAGAATTTTTTGCAATAAACTTACGTATCTTTTCCCGCCAAAATTGTCATTTTACTTAATATTAGTTTGATGGAAAAATTATTTAATTGTTTAGAAAAATATTTGGTTCTTATCTTATCTTATTAATAAAAGTAAAGTTGTTCTCTTATTAATAAAGGCAAGGTTGTTCCTGCTAAACACTATGAAATTTTTCCTGCTCATTTGATAGTTATAAATTATAATTGTCATTTAATTAATTAATTCGGGATATGATGAGTTTGTTCACATTATCCGATTTGTGTGATTTTATATATCTGAAGTTCTATGTATCATTTAATGTGTTCAAATTTTTTTTTTTTTTTCTCCATTCCAAAACCCCTAGGGGCAGGGGATTGTTCTACAGCCGTAAATATCATCATCATTAGTCGGAGTAATTTGGATTCAGGAAATTTGTAATTCAATAATTTGAATTCGTGTAATTGCAGATTTTTTTTTTCTTTCCATATATATATATATATATATATATATATATATATATAATTGTTATCTTACGCACGTCAATGTCTTTAGAGTTGTACATTTTCCATATATACATTTTCCTATATTTTATTTTATTTTATTTTTTTCGGCCATTTACTTCCTATGATTTTGAGGGAATTTATCATATAATTTTATAGGTTTGATTGAATGCAGGAATTATGGGAAATAAGGATAAATCTTCCAAGGTGTAATCAAGGAGACCGATGAACCTACTCACTTTTGTCATACTGAAAGTAAGTTCAGAGATAAAATCTTCAATTTCTTCTATTTTTTACGACGGACACTGTTATTTAAATTCGTTGTATTGGATTCGTTGATGAATTATGTGATAATTTTAAATGAAATCCTTTTAATTTATATTGTTATGCTTAATCAGTGAAAATTAGGTAGGCCGAGGAAGCTACTATTGGTTCTTCATATTGTTTTATCTGTTGCAATATTATGCTTCCAACTTTGATTATTGTCTGCAGTTCGTTTAGCAATTATTTGTTCAACGGGCGTGTTCAACGGGCGATTTCTGGCAACAATCCAAATTCTACATAATATTCTAATTTCCCCCCTTAAGCTTTGCCCTTAGTTTATAGATAGCTAGAACCACTTCAATGGTAGATAATAATTTATCAAACTTTAAAGGCAAACCTGTAATTCTATAAATTTTTTTATTTATTTTCCATTTTCTTCAACTGTCCGACTACTAAATGTTCGTTTATTGAAATATAAAATATGTCATTTTATTGTCGATTACCACTCCTTTCCACTTCTATTCAATGTTTATTTTTTGTTCTTATTATATTATCATGTTCTTCATTCTTTCTTCTTCTTAGTAGAGCATTTTGAAAGACAAAAACCTGTACAATAACATCCCTACATACGTAAAGAAAAATATCGACCACAAGGTACGTATTGCTTTCTTAGTTTATTGTTTGTTAAACTCTCTCCAAATCTAATTTTATACCCTTTTGGAATTTAAATTTTAATGTGAAATTGTCGGTATTTTTTCCATTAAGGATTTATTTGTTTCACTATTATTATTTGTTGGTGGATTAAACTATTTAAGTGCTTGCAAATCAAAATTTGGGGGATAGAGATTTTAGGGAATCAAAACTTTTCCAGGTTTATTCGCATGAAATTTAATCAATATTTGTATCCTTTATGAACAATGTTCTTCTGAAAATTCTTTTATTTATGTATTGAGAGTTTCCTTCAAAGAAAAGATGTGTATCGTTTCATTTGTAATTTCTTAACAACTAAACGTAAAAATTAATTTAATTTCGTCATTTGCATCATTAATGTCTACCTATACTAAATATTTTTTTCATGCGTTTGTGTTTTTTTATAAAAGATTGATGAAGATTAAAGAATGCTAGCTAGCTGACAGCAGTTTGTAAGGTTCCCACAACTAGCAAGTGTTAGGGTTATACACTCAATGTATTACTCCAAAGTTGTGGCGTATAACCAAGCATCTCAGTCAAATGGTAATATGTTTTCAATATATTTATGTATCTTTTATTCTGGACATCTAATATGTTTACAAAAATTACATTTCAGTTTTATGAATAAGAATATTTTTAATTCATTTTTTTTTTGTATTCTTAAGTTTTCTGGCCTGGTTGACATAATAATAATATCACTGCACTAAGTCATATACAAAATATTTAAAGAAACTTTGAAAATCTCGAATCATGTACATTTTTCATTAATTATATTAAATATTTTTTTCCATATATTTTTATTTTTATGTGTTTCTTTTTAAATAATCTCTAAAAATACAAAAATTTCGTGCATCACAAATCTAAAGTTAGTTTTGTGTTTACAGTTAAGCATCTCATTTAAATGGTCATATGCTAAGTCTATAAAGCTAACTTAAGTCAACTCCCATACTCCAATCCTGTAGCATTTGAAACTGTACAACATTTTGTTATTAATTATTTTGAATGTTGACTAGGTTTATGAGATTCTACACCCGGTTAAATACACCATATAGTTTTAAACCGTACATCTACATAAATAACTATCCACTAAGCGCACATACATATGGACGTGTGTGTTATTATATGTAGATCTACGGTTAAAAACTACATGGTGTAATTCACTAGGTGTAGGTTCTACAAAAATTCAACCCCTAAAAATTATATTGGTAGTGATAGGGACTACAAGTGTACAACCAAGTGATTGTTACTGTGTTAATTTTATTAGATACATTGAATTGTTCGTTGCATGCTGGGAAAATAATCGACAATATAATTATGCAATATTTTTTTTGCTTATTATGATGTATCATGAAATTTTGACTAGAAAAGTTCTTTATTTCCATTTTTTTATGGTCTTTCTGCAATTAATAATATAAACTATTCTAATTTTGACACCTTAAATTTATGATATAAACGAAATATTATTTTGCATTAATTTTATTCTAATCCCGTGCATCGCACGGGTGAAATTACTAGTATTAATTAAATTATTGTTTTACATTATTATTTACATTGATTTTTAGATTAATATAATGTTGGATAATGTAAACATCAATTGTATGTATCTAGATACTTATTATTAGAAGAAATACAAAAATATTTTTGTCATACAAAAATAAAATTAGTATATATATATATTATTCATCCAAAAAAAACACCCATTTAAATAAAATCAATTGAAAACAGAAATTTGCCAAGGTTACAAGATTAATTGAGCTTTGGGCTTTGGTACTTAATGGCCCATCTGTTGTAGGATTTCATGGTCCATTATTTTTTTTAGAAAGCGAAAAACTAAATTAAAAATAACAAAGTAAATTGAATCGAAAATTAGAAATCTTGTATCTATTGCAATTTCAAAAAAAAAAAAAAATGGAATAATTTGAATTCAATATGAAAAATATCGTTATAAATCGAAAATTTTCGGATCGAAGCATTTCTAATTTCCATTCTTATTTATTCATATATTTTTAATTAAAAAAAAAAAGAATAATATATTTCAGTATACAAAAAATAGGACGCGTGTCACCAGATGAGTGAGGTAGCACATAAATTTCGTACACCCTAAAGTGAGAACTTCGAACATTTGGTTTACCCTTGCCAATCTTCAAAAGCGCTGTGCTTGAGAGAGAAAAGGTCGACTGTAAAACAAACTGAGGAGAGAGAGAGAGAGAGAGAAATCGAAGCGAATAAAAAATATTTTTATTTATTTTTTCTCTGAGAAAATCTGAAATGGCAATGGCAGGGCGTTTGAGATCGGGCCTTCCCCTCCTCCGTCGAGCCCTCACCGTCGGCAATCCTTCCGCCGCCGAGAGATCCGTCGCAGCGAAATCTATCCTGTGCCCTAGCGTCTCCAACCCCGAGGTACAATTAAAATTACTCGATTCAAAACTTTTCATTTTTTATCACAGTAAATTGTTGATTTAATTCAGTCGCACTCTTTCGATTTTGTGTAATTCACATCGCCATAGAGGAATGTAATTTTTTCTGTAAATAAATCTGGTTGATTTGTTTTCTTTTCCTCTTTAATTTGTCCGATTTTTGTTTTTTTATTTTATTTTCTGGGCATTGTTTTGGTATGTTACTGTCATTGGTGCAATAGGAGTGTCTCCACTGTTTTTTGAAGTATGAAAAGAGAATATATATATGGGTTCTTGTTTTTTCTTTATCTTGGTGAAATTGCTATGTTTATACGGAGATATGGCATTCTATTAAGCTGTTGATTGTTGTACTTTGTTTCAGTTTGCGAGGAACTATGCCAGTGCCGCTCCTGTTAAAGAGCAGAAAGTCAAGGTAATGGTCTTTTGATTTTTTTATATTCAGTTTGGGGGTATTGATTTACAAGGTATACATCTTCATATGAGAAGTATGCTTGCGTTATTGTTGATTCTGCTGATCAATATAAACTGAGAATTTTGAAGAACTTGTTAAAAGTCTTAGGAGTCACAAACTTGTAGTTTCTTACCCTCATAAGCAAGTGTAAGGGGACATTTTTTCGATTTGACTATTTAATGTTGTATAGTCCGGATTTTGAGCTATGCTCTAAATTTCTGTTATTTTTGGAATTTGTATTGTAAGATTATGACTGATATCTTTACAGTTTCTTCTGTGAAGATTTGGTATTTTTTTTGTTTTGTGTGTGTGATTATTGTGCTCCTCCCTTGCTTTTATAACATTTTGCGTGTCATCGTTGAGAACTATGTATCTAATTGACGAAACAACAGTGTACTTGACATTCTATGTTTACCATTGTCATGGAAAGTCCGATTTTATGTCCACTCTAATGCACCCGTTCTATTTTGTTTACCTTGTGATTTGTTTACGAGCTGTACCACTTGCAAACTCATGAGATCATATGGATAAAAGCATTTCTGTGTAGTTGTTTAAAAGGTTTTGCAGTTATGTTAGTAGTTGCTAATGGGACGTGATTCAGTTAAAATGTTATGAGTCTTGTAATGTTGGTTTGCTGATATGTGATATCTTCAGTGTAAATCCTAACTATCTACCTATGCTTGCAAAAAGCTATGTATGACATTACAGCGTCTTTATAACTGTAACATTGTTTTGTTGCATTTTAGATTCCTTTGACAATGTTTGGGGTCTCTGGAAACTATGCTACGGCTTTGTACATCGCAGCAGTGAAAGCCAATATACTGGACAAGGTTGAATCTGAGCTTGTTACCCTAGTTGAAGCTTCAACGAAAAGCCCTACATTTTCTCAGTTCATGAAAGATCATTCAGTCAGTGCTGATACAAGAGTGAAAGCTGTGATTGATATTTGTACTCAAGCTAAATTTTCAGATATCACAAAGAACTTCCTGGGTTAGTGTTATCTATCCGTTAATGAATTTTATTTTCTTCTATTACAACCAGTTAGCATTGTGCAAGCTCTTGAATTAGAACAGTGTTTGTCATACTTGATGTAATTAAATATGCATTAGTTTAGGAGTCGTACATGACCTCACACTTGAATTAGATGTAGCTGACTGTTTCTTGTCAGTACTGGATTTAGGAAATCATCTATGAATTACAAACTCCTTTTCTCCGAGATAGTAACATTTGTCTCAGAGAGTTTGAATGCCTTAATAATGTTGTTTTAGGGTGTGGGTGGGTATGTGTAATGATAGTGTAACATAGGTGTTAATGGTGGAGGAAGTTGACAGGGAAGAAGAAAGGGGGGAGTGCTATTGTGAGTTCCTTCATCAAAGAATGTGTGGGTGGAAGAACATGGTGCAAGACGCTAACATCGAATGCCCTGATTTTATGTAATGATACGTGTGCAACTTGAATGTGTTTCCAGAGAACGAGAAAAACAATGCCACAAATGTACTTATACACCTAGAAGTCCATCTCGAATGTGTTTCCAGACACCTTACCTACATTAATATATAAGAGTATGTTTGATGATACGAAATATGAATGATTGATGAAGCGATTGTCACTTGTCACTCACAGAGTGTGAAAGAATTTTAGTTACTTGTACATCACGCTGAAAACATCATTTGTTTATTGATTGTTTATTTCATTTATGCAGTTGCGACATCAATTGTTATTGTCCTGGCTAAATTATACATCAATTGTTATTGTCCTGGCTAAATTATAGTAATTCGTTTTCCCTAGATATATCCATGTATGACATATTATGTTATCTTTGTAACAGCTGTTGTCGCTGGAAATGGGAGGCTGGCACACATAGAACGTATGTCACAGAGATTCTCCGAGCTGACTATGGCCCACAGAGGGGAGGTTAAAGCAATAGTAACCTCTGTGATTGTAAGTTCAACTCCTGAAATGTATTCTTTTTTTCTGGCTGTGATCTGAACCAAAAACAAAAAGAAAAAAAGAGGAAAAAAAGGAAAGAAAGAAGGAACACCGCATATGAATTTAACCTTCCTCCATACTCTTGTTCTCTCTATCTCACACAAGTCACAACTGTGATGTGGCACATTGTGTGTTGTTATCTGCATGTTGTCTAAGTTTTGTTCTATCTAAAGCAACATATATTAGACATCTTTTGATTAGGAAGGGGAAACATCTTTGAATCTAAAACAAAAAGAAATCATAGAAAAAGTGACAAGAGGAACTGGAAATTTTCATCAGTAGTTTCCACTTGATGTATTAACTTCTAGCTTATCCTTGTTTGTTCATCAGATATATTCACTTTTCCTGTTCAATACACATTTTCATTACACATGGTTAGGAGTAGCCAAGTAGATTGTCCATGATAATATAACATAGATTATCTTATATTGGGATTTGTGATTATACAATCCTTCTATTGGGTAATATTCGTTATAGTATTGTGTAATAATACGAGTTGAATTTGGACAAAATATTCTTCATCTACATGATTAGAATCCGGGTCTTTTTTTTTATAACCATGGGCTTAACTAAAACCCCAAGCATTTGACAAACCTTGATTATATTGTCTATTAAGTCCTAACGTGATTACCAAACAAGGCCTTGGGATCCTAATTCATGTTGTCGTGTCACGAATGTCATTGTATCAGCTCTGTCAGAAAAGTTTTTTGAGGGTCTGTAGTATTTGAAAATTTCGCATGTAAACCATTGGTGGGTCATAAACTAGGACTGCCTCAGCTTATCATACTTTTGAGTCGTTTTTTTTAATGTCTCTCTCTTGATGCAGCCTCTACCAGCAGAAGAGGAGAAAGAACTGAGAGAAACACTGCAGGATATTCTTGGACAAGGCAAGAAAGTCAAGCTCGAACAGAAGGTACATTCTTTTATTATCTTTCAAGGCCTCATTTGGTTCCCAAGATTAGATTATGTAAAATCTTATGAGAAACCAATTGTATAATTGAACTATGGGAGTTCACTATAAGCCAAAACGAGTTCTCAATCTTCCATAATTGCGGTACACTAACGATGGGTAATCAAATAAAACCTAATCAAACAACCAAACGAGGCCTATATATATTGGTTATGTACTTATGTTGATGGCTTTTTCTCTTCCACTGTTTCGTAATTTTGTCGATTATCTGTACAGATTGATCCGAGTATCCTGGGTGGGCTTGTTGTCGAATTTAGCCAAAAGGTATTCGACATGTCGATAAGGAGTAGGGCTGCCCAGATGGAGCGATTCCTACGCCAACCTATCAACTTGGATGGCAACTAATCTGTTTACTGCATCAATTTTTCCCTAAAGCCTTTTAGCGAAAACAAAGGAAAAAGAATCTTTTTGGTGATTATGCACGTTTATTTAATCGTTTTATCTGCTTTATGCAAATAAAAGCTACTCTTGCTGTTCGGACTGAGTATAAAATTTCTCCTACTCATTGATGATATGAATACTGTTGCTTGTACTTTGTTTTCAAATCACGAGTTCTGTTAGGTTGCATTTTCGATGCAATGACTTGAGCAAGGGACTTTAAATGCGCAATAATAAACTCGTTGAGGTGTGAATCACACAGTTCACTAGTTATTATCTGGTGCTCGGTAGGCGAGTGTAGTTATAGTTCGATAATTTAATACTCGATATATTAATAATTTCTCCTAAACAACAGATTTTCCTGTCCTAAATGGTTTATTCGTTAAATTTAAAAATAAGATAATACATATTTTAAATTCTTATATATCCCATCTAATGTATAAATTAATAGTGATAGAAATAACGCTTTAAATACATAGTATAATGTGATTCAATTTCTATTTTACATTTCTTGTTGAAATGAATAATGTTACCTTCAATTTCATTCCATTGTTTTCTTTATGAGAGTCGGAAAAGATAATTTAGCTAATTAATTAAATTTTGTTGTTCTCAGTTGATATCACCATCTACCATAATTCTCCTTTTTAAAATATATTTATTAAAAAATAATAATAATAATAATAATAATAATAATATCGGATTATGTTGGTCCTAACCCTTCTCAATAAAAAAAACTAATTACTTTCCTTGTATACTAACTACTCCTAAAATAATCCTAATTCCTGACAAAGAATTCGTTTCCTATAAATTCAGCGGCACCCTCCCCATTCAACAAATTCGAAAATCCGATTCTCCTGGAAGAAGAAAACCCTCGGTGGAGTTTGTGAAGATCACCGGACAACTAAACAAACCCTAATTCTGAATCTCAACCCTTCCACCACCACCACCCGACGCTATGCAAGCCCCCGTCACAACACCGCCGCCGCATTACTTCACCGGTCTCGGCCGTGGTGCCACCGCCGCCCTCACCGCACATTCCGATATCGAGGGGAACGATGATGATTATGGCAATGAATCGTGGAGGAATAATAAGAAGAGGAGGTTCGACTCTTTTCTGGCCGATCTCGATGAATTGTCTGACAGTGAAGACGATCTGGACATGGTAGAAGATATAGATACAGATGATGAATTAGCAGGAATAGAAGAAGCAGTTAATTGTTACGATGATTTTGATTGTGTTTTGAAACTAGAAAATTCTCAGCGCTTTGCAGAAATCATGGTGAAAATTGAAAAAGCCCTAGAAAAGGGGAATGAGAATTCATTAGATCAAGCAATTATTCTAGAGGAAGATGAAAACACAGAATACCAGTTGCTAGTTGATTGTAGTGCTTTGTCGGTTGATATCGAAAACGAAATATCAATCATCCACAATTTTATCCGCGACAAGTACCGGTCCAAATTCCCGGAGCTCGAGTCTCTTGTTCACCACCCGATCGATTATGCACGTGTCGTTAAAAAGATTGGGAACGAAGTGGATTTGACCCTAGTTGACTTACAAGGTCTTTTACCCTCCGCCATTGTTATGGTGGTTTCCGTCACAGCATCAACCACGTGCGGAAAGCCTCTTCCGGAACATGTCCTGCAAAAGACAATCGACGCTTGTGATCGTGCTCTTTCTCTTGATTCTGCAAGAGAAAAGGTTCTTGCTTTCGTGGAGAGCCGAATGGAAATTATCGCCCCGAATCTTTGTGCGGTAGTCGGAAGTGCCGTTGCAGCAAAACTCGTGGCGACAGCTGGCGGGCTCCCGGAATTGGCGAAATTGCGTCCGTGCAATGTTCGGCTTCTCGGTGCGAAAAGGAAGAGCTTAGCTGGCTTTTCGAAAGAATTTCGTGCTGGTTATATAGAAGAAACGGAGTTATACAAGGGCACTCCTCCTCTGTTGAGGAATCGTGCATGTCGAGTTATTGCTTCAAAAGCTACACTTGCTGCACGTGTAGATTCTGCAGCTGGAACGGATTCGAGTGGAAAAGACGGGAGAAAATTCCGTGCTGAGATTGAGAAGAGTATAGAGAAATGGCAAGAGGCTCCTCCTGCGAAGCGGCCCAAACCTCTTCCCTTTCCTAACTCCGAGCCTAAAAAGAAGAGAGGCGGTCGGAGGTTGATAAAGATGAAAGAAAAGTACGGTATGACGGAAATTCGGAAGCTGGCAAATAGAATGCAGTTTGGTGTAGCGGAGGAGAGTTCACTTGGTGACGGATTCGGACAAGGATATGGAATGTTAGGGAAGGCTGGTGTACGTGTATCGGTTTGTAAGAGAAGACTTTTGGGTGATGAAGTAGCCAAGAAGAAGTTTTCTCAGGGCAGAGATTATCATGGGGCAACTTGTGGATTTACTTCGAGTTTGGCTGGAATCGAGCTTTCGAACCCTCAGGCGAAAAACGAGCTTTGTGGCGGCGGCGGTGGTGGTACTGAAAGCACTTACTTTTCGAAAGCTGGAACTTTCTCGAGGGTCAAGAGAACATGAAACAACTATCGAGCAGTAGTACCCTTTTGGAAAAACGTTCGTTTGTCTGAGAAATTTGAGACACTTTCGTTAAAAGTGTGGTGTTACTAATTCAAGGTGTGGTTTTCTTTCTCATGATTGCTGAAGTATTGAATGTGATGTTGCTTTCTTTTACTTGATGCAACTGTCCTATGCACTTTTTATTTTTTCGGTGAATTTTTTTTTTTAATATGTTTTAATATAAATTATTGGTACTTTAAATGGAGATATGTGATTCTAACAAGGTGTTGGTTACGTTGGCGTAATTTGTTTCAGTTTGCGAGGAACTATGCTAAAGAGCAGAAAGTCGAAGGTAATTCTTACTCTTTATCCTCAAGTTTTAAGCATGGTTCCACTTTTATTTATACGGTTCGATCCGTTTTTACGGATGGACAAATATGAGAATGAAAAGATAATCATAATTCCTATACTTGCTACTGAATATATATACATATGAATCATGAGTAGTTATTCTATGGCGCGCTCGATGGATATATAATATGTTGATAATTTTGACATATATTTGAAAAAGGCGAAAAAAAACGTGTGTTGAAAGCAAGAGATGAATGCGCCATGCACCAACTTCTTCATGTCTGAGTTTGTTTAAAGCAACACTTCTGTTTACCTTTACTAAACATCAGATAATATTAGTACTACTAGTAAGTATGTAGTACTGGAGATTATGATGGATTTCGGAAATCGTTACGTATTTTATAAAATACGATTTAATTTGTGAATTTTTTTCTTTGATTGTTTTGTATCGCCCGTGTTACTGGCTTTCAAAATCGTATATCACTGTTTTTTCCATCATCCAAAACACCAAAAATCCAATGATATCTGCATCATTGAATGCATGATTATTTTGATTTGTACGTTTTGTGTGGTTATATATATATATATATATATATATATATATATATATATGTGTGTGTGTGTGTGTGTGTGTGTGTGTGTGTGGGAGATAGAGAGAGAGGAGGCTTCTTAAGTGGATGTACTGATGCTATTAAAAAAGAGGTCTGTTAATGAAGCAATACTACTAATCAATGATCAATATATTTCCTCAAGTAGTAATTCTTACTCTTTATCCCCAAGTTGAAGCATGGATCCACCTTTTTTTTTTTTTTTTCTTTAATTAATTAATTAATGATTCCAATTTTTCTAATCCAAGCAAACTAGCTAGTCTGTAATTATGAAAGTGTAGAGCTTAAAACCCTAATGATTACATGATTGATATGTGATATGTTATTACAAATAAAAAAAAAAGTAGTTCACAACCTAATTAAGCAACTTGCTTAATAATAAATCAAGCTAAATTTGACCGTTTATATGGTTATAAGTTCGGTAAATATGAAAGGGACAACAAATATATGGGAAATAAAAAATAACTAATAACTTGCTACCAAACACATTTAGCAATATTTACGTATGTATATATCCAAGATGCCTTTGGAGAAATCGAATAATTATGAGATCATTAATTAATATATGAATAGAGAACATATATAATTGCCTAATTGATGCATTTTTCCAACCAAGAAATAATACATTCAAGAAAGATGAAATATACCCTCAACCATAATTATATATTCTAGTTTTATTGGGCATTAATAATTAGTAATTTGTTCGTTATAGAAAGTACATACACTGTACTTATAACTTCGACACCAAGTCTGCAATATTTTCAAATTAATGAACGTTACGTACAAATACAATA